GCATGGCGCATCTTGAAAAGAGTGACTGATAGCAAGAGAACTCTCCCTTATTCATGTGCCTCGTCGCATATGGGGAGTGAGACTCAGGCAGGAAATCCCACTACATAAGATTAAACAACGCCTGGAGCAACCGTGATCCCGTATCTCTAGAACTGATAGATTTCCATTTGAAAAGGGTCCTGGACAGTTATACCAGCGAATTTTTGCGGTGCATTTTGAATGCGTCTAAGACTTTTAATTGAGGTCGCGTGCATGGCTCACACCAGGAGAAGGAGAATCAGATTTCAATGCTAATATTGAGCACAAAAACGCCAAGTTATGGGCAAAACCCTTCATCTCAGGCAGGACTCGAACCCGCCGCATCTCTCGTGTTCTGAACAGGTGTCCTACTACTTACAATATAAAGGCGGTAGTGATTGTACCATCAGCTTTTGATGCTATGTGTTTACCATAACAATCCAAAATACGTCAGGAGCTGAACTTCTGAATATTTGGTTGAACTTTCCTTTTAAAAATTTCTTCCCGAACGAAATTCCTACTCCTTTTTATTGACAGTGACTGGTTTGATAAAATAGAAATTGCTCTTACCGAAAAGCATGAACGAAGCCATTCGGCCGACTATTGTAGCCGATTTTATTCAGCTTCCGAAATTGAACCGCATCCATTGCATTCGTCAGAAAATTCACTGTTCGTGGCAGAGCCCTTGAAAAGAGTCAATGTAAAATAAATTGTATTGCATAATTTTTCAAGTAGTTTTTGAAAACCTATGAAAATTTTGTTAGCTCACATTACACAGAGAAGAAGTGGATTCATACCTGATGGCTTGAGATGAAGCGACCGAATCCAACAGAATGATATGCACATGAGGATGAATGGTGGCGTGAACTGATTTTGTACTGAAACTATAGCATTAGCAATCTCTGGTAATGAACGATTTGAGACTAGGTTCATTGGTATCATGCCGATTCAGTGGTGCTGCTATGCTGAGCAACATACCCTCCCCTTCAAAAAGCGAGAAAGTGTCGGGTGCAGACCATACACCACAAGTGACGACGGCCACAAAATGTTAATGTTTTCTGCCAATGAAATGATTAGCCTGTTGCAGTTGTATTCTATCAGTTGTCACTAATTACAACTATCATTTACCAGAAATCAGCTATCACTATGAACAACTTCTAACCAGATTTACTTGGAGGCCGTCGTCAGTTGTGGTGTTTGGTCTGCACCCGACACTTTCTCGGGGAGGTTATGGAAAAACGGCCAACAGTCGTGTGCAGCGCATCTACGCAGTGATTCATGACGAAAGTAACACCCAAAATAGAATGCTGCATTCACATTGCTCCAATAGCACTCATTTACTAGCCAAACGTTCATCCTTAGCTAACTATGAACCCACGAACATCCCTGAATGCTCAACTCTCCATAATACTTCTGTGGTCTCCAGCTAAACAGAGACTTCGCGGTCTGCAGAGTGCTTCTCTTACCTGAGCTCAGCTATCTGCATGTGCACATGAGAAATTGTCCGCTTTCTTGAGGTGCATTCAGTATGGACGAAATCGCAGAGAAACGGCAGCGGATCGTTGATGTCTCGCCATGGGTCAAATGACACGTGCTCTTCGTCCAAGTGTAATTCACACACCTAAATTCTTACGGGGTGGGGGGTAATTATGCGGTTCATCTTATTCCACACAGTGTAGTCGCTTTAATACTACAAATAGTATTACTGGTTGAAAAATTAATTCATTCCTTGTTCGTTTTGCTTGACAGGGCCAAAAAACACTCCGCATTTCAACATCATAAATGAGGGCAAAACCGTGGGGCTTGTATATAAACATTATGTTGCTGGAAACTCGGCAAATACTCCATTCTGCATAAATTAATGTCCCTACGTGAAGCTTTCGCCAAGATTAGCAAATCACTCTACACAAAAATCAGAAATAAGTACAATTCCCTCTCCGAAAAAGCCCAAATACGACCTCTGCGAAAGATCACCAACGGACAGTTGCGACGGTTCCTGAGTGCTGCTCAAGAAGCACGCCCTATGAATCAGCTCAACAATCTTGTTAACACACATTGCAACCCGCGTGCATCGCCGGGTATGCACGTCGAAACTGCCACATCTGGCATTTGTGCATCGACGGGTATGCACGCAGGTAATTTAGTGTTTATTTATTTATTTATTGACTGCGCCAAAGTGCGCGCTACAGCGTGAAACTAGGGCCGGTAACTGTGAAACTGTATTCCAGAGACACTAAAACAAGCATACACAGAAAAGAACACAAATCATTCCCGAAGAGTATTCAATTTTCTTTCACTAGGTTAAGTGGAAGCTAGAATACTAGAGAAACAAGGCAATAAAGCGACGAGTATCTCACCAGAGCTCGCCAAAAGTGAAAAAAAAAAGAATACCATGCATCTATTCTTAGAAAAAAGAGTATGAAATAATTTCGAAAAAAATAGAGAAAGCGAAGAGGTAAAAAAAAGAGAAGAGAGAGCCTGTCGGACAGGAGGTTCATGTTGGAGTCACAGCCTAGTCAAGTGAAAAAAAAAAAAAAAAAAATGTGAAGTAAATGGAAGTAGTCCAAAATAAACCCTCCAACACTTTAAGTTATGGGAGGAGTGCAGCTACATATGCGCAGTGTGACATACGACGAAATGAGATGCGGAAGGAAGAGCACAAGGCCAATCTATGAATTTGTTACTGAATCTCTATACTCACCTTGCTCGACATTCGTACTTCCGTGAACTGCCGGCACGCAGTATACGAACAACGTCCCATTCCGCAATTCAGTGATCGGTGACCATTTCTGGTTCACGTTGCAGTTCTGTAACGCACGGCATTTCATATTGAAAGCCCGGCGGTTCTGATTTCAGATTGCCATCGTTTCGTTGCCGCTCTCGTCATTACATTATTAGCAAGAGATGATGTGTCCCTCAAAGCAATAGTCCCAGATGAAGTTGTGTTTCGAAATTGCCGAAATATTCTGTTGAATTGCTCAATATTTGCTAAAGGATTGGCTAAATATTCGCAGAAATCTTTGTAGATCAACCAGTGAATTCTACTACCCTTCCTAAATTACACTGCCAGCTGCACCCCATACAAGCCCTCTACCGGAAAGGTAAACCCCTTTCCGAGAAATCTTCGACCTTCTAGTTGAAGGCAGGGCGACCTCTGCTTTCATGGAGCGCTATTTCGTCGCTATTCCCTTACAATTTCGTCATGGTGAATTTTCAAGAAAAACATCACTACAGTGTGTCACTTTCGGAATTGCGTTAAAAGTTGTTTGAAATGCGCCGAGCGTGGTAAAGTACAACGCGGACCGTTCAAGCAAAAGATCGATGAATTTATTAGGGAGGCCAAGAATCGTTTTTCAAACATTTGTACAACGTGATGATAATTCTTTTCAGGGTCAATCGTATGACAAAAAAAGTAATGGGCAGTTAGTTACTAGCTAAAAAAATTTTACGTTGCAAACAACCCTAGAATAAGAAATATGACAACAAATCAAAAACCCTGGGTCGTCACGCACCATGGGTACGGTAATTTGTTGGGATATGAAAAAGACAACAAAGGCGTTGTTTGGTGCTACGGAAAATTCACAAAATTTGAAAATTCGAAACGTCAGGAGCTGCAATATGGGACTTTACCTTGGCTGTCACTTTGAGACGTCCAGACTTGCTCAATTATACCTTTTTAAGGAAACATGGGTATTTACAAAATATCGGAAGCGAGTATCTCGTAAGTCCAGGAAATGGGCTTGTTAGCTTTGCTTTTACGCGATATCGAAAAATATTTGTCCCGCGCAAACTCAAATTGAATCCTTGTTCTGAGTTTGAGGCTCGAATAAGGCACTCGGCGATGAAATTATCTATTCTGCGACGCGCTGCGCATCTACTTCTGCATCTACCGCTGCAAGGACTAATCTTAGAGTCAAGAGTTTCACTTTTAGAGCTGCAAGCTCATATATAAAGTTGACTAAAAATATACCCCTTCCTATCTCATTGAAAATTTTTAAAAAACAGATTTCCAAAAAACTTGTGAGTTACAGAATATCGTTACTTTAAGGTTTAATACAAGGCGATGATAAGCTCAGACGCTTTCCCTACAGAACGAGCATCGTGTACAACCCCGGAAGGATGGTAGGCTTGTCTGGCCTCATCTGCGCACGATCCAGGATTTGACCTTCCGAGCGCATGTAACCGAAGTCATTCTCCACTACATCACTTCCACCATATTTTGGATTTAGCTTTAATCGCACAAACACCGGTTAGTCATC